CAGGAGGTGTCTCAGTGTGCTTGTTTATGGTAGTCCAGGTATTCCAGCATTGGTTTGATGGCCTAAGCCCATACTAATATGCTTACTCTGCCTGAGGCATGGCCACACAGACAGCTCAACAGGCTTCCTGAGAAAGCAGGTGCCTCCTGCAAGATGCGGCCCTGACTGGGAGCAAGGTGGTGACTTGAGATGTGCATTTCCCAAGCATCTGCACCCTTATTGTAGAAACAATAGCAGCTGAATGACGTAATTTCACTTAAAGGGCACACACTAGCCTCATGGTAGTCACCAATATTCTGTCATTAGTATTAGTTGCTTTTTGATTCTTTTTAGTCACAGTAAAAACAACTGAATACCCATTTTAGAAGTGTAGATGTGTTCTTTAGCCACGTCCTTCTTGGCCTTCTACCCCAGTATACACTATTAGCAGCCATACCCAGAGCACAATACCTCCAGTGTGCTACTGCTGAGTTCTTGCTAGTCTTATTTTTACTTTATCTTCTTCACTGTAGGGGAAATCTGCTGACCCGGACCCTGGCAGACATTGTGCATAAAGAAGACTTTGTTCTGAATTCTGAGTATCTTATCACACTGCTGGTCGTGGTGCCAAAGTAAGGCAATAGTGTGTGCACATGCACTCAACGTGGCATTGAGTTTCAGGCCTAAACACTGGATCAGGGCGATACTGGGTCAGGCTGGGGCAGCTCATCAGCGCCGTGGCTGGGACAAGGGTGGAGCTGTTAGCAAAGAAGAAAGAACAGTTTCTGCCAAGACTGGTGCTGGCACAGAAAGAGGCAAAAACGGCTCCAGATTTGGAGCAGGACAGAATCGGGATGTAGGTTTTAATGGTTTCGAGTGTGTAGGAATAGTGCAAGCTGAAAGAAAACCAGATTCTTACTGGAGTGTAACCAGTTTATCAAAGGAATTAAGACCTCTCCAACTCACAGTCTCTGATGGCTGTGCATCTCTAAGTGCCTGCACATAGGACAATTGCCATTGCCATCAGGTATGAAGTTACACAACATCCTCCTCAGAAGCCTGCACCAAGCTTTTCCTCTCCCTATAGCCCTGTCCCAACACACAGCACCATCATTTTTCTGTCTGTGAAAACCAGGTTACAAAAAGCTGTCTGAAGTAAGTTTGCTGAGTTTATTATCTGCACATTCTTTCAGATTATTTCTAAAAACAGACTTCTCACTTTGCACACTCTTACCGTCCCTTTTACCACTTTCTCCCACTGCTGGCACTTGCTGTGATTGCAGTGTAGCACCGAATCAGCTATGGGATTGCACACAGCAGATGCACCACCACACCTACCCATGGATCAGGGCAGCCTGTGCAAGGGTCTTGGAGCAGGGGATGTTGTGTGGCAGCCTGAGATTATGTGCCAAAAACTGTGTTTTTCCCACCATCAGTTTCCTGCTGTGGACCCTTCCTCAAGCCAAGACCCAAAGTGAAGACTGAGGGTATAGCACTGGGAGAAACATCTCCTCAGCTAGTGACTAGGAGAGGAAAGGATAGGAGAGGCTTAATCTATCTTAATGGCATAACCCAGCACAAAGAGCTCCAACCCTTCTACCCTAAGCCATTAGCTTAATTAACTACATATATCTACACATTTGCTTTCTAGTGTATAGTATTTATTTACTGTGCTTTTTTTGTTTTGCTCAAAGGTCAAGCTACATACAGTGGCAGAAGACCTATGAATCACTCTCAGATATGGTAGTGCCTCGCTCCACCAAGTAAGTGAAGTTCCAAATTAAGCTCCCTGTTTGTTTCAGGGATCCCTGCCATATTTCAGCCCCTCAAATTGCTGGGTCCTGGAAAGAATCACTTGTCTAATGCATAGGCTCCACATTAACATATTCTCAATTGAAACCAAAAACTGTTCTGTTGAAGGGAAGTGCAGATGAAAGAAAAAAAACCCAAGTTTTTTTCAATTAGTTTGTTGTTCCCTTTTCCAGTATGTAGATCTTTCTACATTCAACTAGGGCCTTTGCTTTTTTTGTGTAAAACAATTTGTTTCAGTAATCAAGGCATAATTCAGACACATGCAATCATATAGAGCTTTATGGAAACTACTTTGTAAAAAAATCAAGTACTATTATTCACATTTTAGTTGCTTCCTGCTGTAGAATAGGATTATTCAGTGTACTGTCACTTGCATTAACAAATGCCATATTAACTAATCTTTTCACCTGAAGTAAAAAATGCTTTCCAGAACTTAAATATTTCACTGCTCAACTCACACAGACCATGAGGTCCATCCATGACATAAGAGCTGAGTGGTATTATGCAAAATTAAAGAAGTGGAAAGCACAAAGAAAGAAGCAAGCTGTTTGCTACTGCCTGTCTCAAAACCATAAGTGCATGGAAAGGTGGGGGAACATTACCAGGAAATACAGAAAAATCAGGCAGGCAGAATGCATGTGTACTACGGTGGGTTCAGGAACTTAACTCATGGGAGTTCAGCATTCGAGATTGCCTAGCTGCTGCTAGTGAAGTCTTTGTTCCCTGTCCAGTCACAGCAGGTTTTGAATAGCAGGATGGTGTTCAGTATCATAAATGAAAAAACTGCAAAAGACAAAGATGAGGAAGGTAAAAAAGACACAAGGGATTTATCATGTCAAATCACAGCAGTGGATTTCCCTCCCACAGAATGATTGCTGAGGATGCAGAGGGAGGACTCTTCACTGTGACCCTATTTAGGAAAGTGATGGATGACTTCAAGGCTAAAGCCAGGGAGAACAGGTAAGAAGCATTGACTGCTAGGCAGGGCAGGCTAGCAAGGGACGAGGATAAGGTGAGGCCTTCTGTGTGCAGTATGCTGAATCACTGGCTTCTAGGACTTCTTGACTGCTTGGATTGCTCCTGGCCCTAAAGCCACTGAGAAGGCAGGGTGGGAAGGAGCTGTAGCAGCAAAATCAGTGATCCTGTTCTTTGAACACCAAACTATAGATCCTGAAATTGTCCTTCCTACTCTCATACTACTGACAGCAGTCTGAGGGTGACTTCAACTCCCACCCTCCACACACTTTTACTTGTTAAATGGCTAGCAACTTCCTGTACCTGCTTCTCTAGAGGCAAAAGAAATGAGTGTGCATATTGCTTGGACTACAGCTTGTGAGAGCAAATGTCATTCAATTGTAGGTTCATGGTTCGAGAGTTTTATTATGATGAGAAGGAACTGAAATGTGAAAAGGAAGAGATGATGAAATTAGCTTCTGATAAGAAACAACAATATGTAAGTAGCACATGAAGCTGATGGCCCAAATAATGGCAGCCTTTGCTACCAGGGTGCCTAAAGCACCTCTCACTCAGAAATGACTTTATGGTTGCAACAGTCTCCTGTGAGCTCCATTTAGCCCAGAAAACTGAGACACAGGATAAATAACATGATTTGCTCAAGGTCACTTGAGTTTCTGATAAACTGGGAGCCACTAACAGGCTGCCTGGGAACTATCCCAGCAGCCCATGATGGCCTGTGGTGGTGTTAGCTATGGAGCTGCTTCACTCAGCAGGATCACAGTACTGTTGTGTCTGTTCTCATAGGGCCCATTACTGCGGTGGCTGAAAGTGAACTTCAGTGAAGCATTTGTAGCTTGGATTCATGTGAAAGCCTTGAGAGTTTTTGTTGAATCTGTCCTGAGGTAAGTCAGTAAACACACACTGCAGGCAGAGATTCCTGTGGAAGTCAAAACATACAGATCTCTTCCTGCTGCAGTTCCTTTGTGCGAGAGAACATCCCTTACACACTTCATTCCAGGAGCTCACAGGGGACAACATAGATGTCCACAAAAAAAATGACATAAAAATTTGATGAAAAACAATTCTTAGGGGGCCCTTACAGGGAAGTGTACTAATTCTGGCTTCAAAAAGGAAATGCTTTCCATTAAGGAGGCAGCATTGTTCCTGCAATATACCATCAGCTGGCATGCCAGGAGGCTGAGGAGGGAGGACAGGAGTGGAAAGCTGTGCTCCTTCCCAGCAGATGATAGTGTATGTTGATGTTTCCAGGTATGGCCTCCCAGTGAATTTCCAAGCAATGCTGCTGCAGCCAAATAGGAAGTCTGTAAAACGCCTGAGAGACGTCCTAAATGTGGTCTTCAAACACCTGGATGAAGTTGCAGCAGCAAGTATTATGGATGTATGTATTTGGATTGCAAGTGCACACGCTGCAGCTTGTCTCCGTTTAGCCAGATGAACACTTCCATTGTCCAGGGGCTAGAGGGTGCATCTCCTTAAGTCTTGCACTGCTAGGAGCCCTGGATGCAGCTCTAATCCCTGGCGGTTACAGGCTGGATTAGGTTAACAGGTAGACTCCAATTGTGATGCAGATGCATAGATATTGCTTACATTTTCTGTTGAAGCATCTGATGTTTGCAGCTACCAGAACAAAACAGGTCTGCTCAATTATGGCAGTTCCTCTAAGTAAAAAGCTTAAAGTCTTCTATGAGCATTCAGATCAACACAAGCAAGAAAAATGAATTTGGAACTAAATGCTAGGACTGTGACACCTCTGTCCCCAGTAAAAGGCTTTCATTCATAAATAACCTAGGCCTTCAGCACACTGCAGTACTTGCTTCCTCCTCCCCATGTCTTGAGTGCACAAAACAATTTAGGATAAAGTAATTAGGATAAACTAGCAGGCCTTTAAAACAGCCTAAAACCAGCAAGCATGATAGCCAGTGCATGAAGGGAGAACAAAGAGATGAGTTGCTCTAGTGCTGAAGCACACAAAAATGCTGCATGTTCTTAACACAACAACCAAGCAAGAATTCTCAATGCTAATTACATAAGGCAGCCTGAAAACACCAAGCAAAGACCAGATTCTCAGTGGTGAATCCCATCTTAGGCATGGCAAATACGAAATTCCATTCCACCTGTGGAAGAGGAGCACAAAAGTAATCCCCTGTAGCTTGGAACTGTGCGAGTGTGGTTACTGGTACTAAAGTCATATTGTTTCCTTTTGCAGCCTGGCATGGACATCCCTGGCTTACAACTGAGTAATCAAGAATACTATCCTTATGTCTATTTCAAGATTGACCTCAGTCTTCTTGACTGCAGTTAAAGTGCCCAAGCTTCATCTATTAGTTTTCAAGACTCTAATGTTACAGTAAAACAATTTTTGGCTGCTGAAAATCAAATTTAAGTGCAGATGCTGTAGCAATATGATCTTCCTACCACTTCCAGTAATTTTTATAGTGACTTCAATATAAGTATCTCTTACTCATGGTTTTACAAAAACATATTTCAGAGGCAGGAGGTACTATGGTAGTATTTATTTTTTTTGGTAAATTACAAAGATGGAATACCTATTGGACTCAAAATAAAACAATTTAAAAAATGTGGTGGCTAATGGATCTACTAGGTGTATACAGTCCTGTTTTTCTAACAAAGCAAACCTAAAAAAAAACCCAAGCAGAAAAAATAAAAAGCATCAGAGCAAAGCCCAGAGTTCTTTTAACTTAACAGAAAGAGTTTACGAAGAAAGATCCTCAGAAGTGCTGAGGAACTTATTTTAGTATGACTTACAGTCCCAAGTACTCATGAGTTTAGTTTTTGCAAGCTATTTCATTTAGAACAGTTTCACTAGATCTCATCTGCTGGGATAGCTTGGAGTCAGAGCACATCTGCACCAAATCAGCAGTCAGGTTACTGCTGCTGCCCGTGGTTCCAACACTGCCTGTCACAGGGATGAGCTATGGACACTCGTACAGACACTAGATGGCAAATATCCATATCATGTTACTTCCTTGAAAGAAGGCGAAACTTTCAGCTCTTTCATTCCTTACTTATAAACAAGCTGATCACATGAGGGTCACTTCACTAGACACCAATATACAAGACATGGAGAGCATGTTAATATGAAGAAAGCAGCAGTAAACCTCCCTATTCCCAGTCCTGATCCCCCTTCCAAGGAAATAACGATTTCAGATTAAAACAATGCCAGATGGGAAGTGAAGAAATATTACCCAATTTGCTGGAGAGAGCACCATGGGGGTTTTCTGTTAGCACCTGGAAATCCTCATGCCCTAAAATGGGGATTAGCTTCATTCAGGGGGAAGACCGATGGCTCCCAGCAACTCCCATTGCAGCAGCAACCCCACTTCCGT